CTATGGCTATTTTGCTATCTATGTAGGCACGGAGTACCTCCGTACCTTAACTTACATTACGATCTGAGGTGAGGTCAGGTAAGCCGCCAAGGGAATAATGGCTTGCTGCAGTTCATTCTCGTCAATGTAGCTGACATTGGATGCCATCGCTTGTAATGAATGTGTACCTACCAATAGCCAATACATGCTCCCAAAGCTATAGCCAGATGTTCCAGATGCTCTGGTCAATTGCGCGCATGGGTATATAAAAACGAGGTCTCCGAGCAGTACATTGCCCAGGGAGAGAGGGAAATAGAGAGGGAGGCAGGTCTACACAGTGACAGCAATGATTGGAACACACGTCTCACTTTTATCGCATTCCCATATCCTTGTTACACAACCGCCCGGCGACCCAGGAAGCTGTTGCAATCTGGAGCCCGTACTCCCAGATTTAGAATAAGGGCGGGAAACACGAGGTACCCAGCCAAGCTTACCTACGCTACCACAACCATTGGGGGAGACTCCAGACAAGGGCTCTCGGCCACCCGTCGTGCTTCAAGGGAGCTTGGCTGATTGACAGCAAGCATCCAACTCTGTATGCCCACATCTGTACTGCATCCATCTACTATATCGTCTGAGGTGATGCTCGGGTGAGCATCCCAACCTGAGGCTGTCAGATCGGTCCTCCGATCAAGTCCAAGTCCAAGTCCAAAGTTGACCCGGTTCCAAGCCGAGCGAAGCCCGCCCTGGGAAACTGGGAGACTGGGACCAAAAAAAATTGAGGAGCTCCAACATTCAGGTAGCACACCCCTGCCATCCTTGCTCACTGTTCCCTCCCAATCCACTCCAATTCCCATGTGCAAAAGGCGCCTGCTCCCACGTCCGCTCAGTCACGGAGCACTCCTTCTTTTGCCTTCTCCGTCTTGTGTCACTGAACGCTCCCCCCGAAGCGAAACTAACCCAGTCCCCGGCGCCTATCTTTCAAACGAACACATCTCTCCCTTCCCCGAACCCTTTTCCTCATTCAAAGCACACTGAACCTCGGCCTTCCTCCGAGAAACACTACCAACTCAGCTCGGTATCCGAGGTCATTCCAAGCCTTTTATTCCGCAACCTGCCGCGTTTCCCCATTCCTTCCTTGGCCCCATTCTCAGGCATCTACCCCGTACCACCCATTAAACCTCCCGCCGCACCTCGCATCCCCCGCGAAGAAGCACCCTCCTCCCTTGGTCAGGGCCCCTTTCCGTCATCACAAGTAGCAGAGCCATGGTTGCCGTCGCCACTTTGCCCGCCCCCATCGGGGAGCCCCAGAAGCTGGAGAAGAAGCCCGTCAAGTTCTCCAACTTGCTGTTGGGCGCCGGCCTGAACATGTTCGAGGTCACGACTCTTGGCCAGCCGCTCGAGGTCGTCAAGACCACCATGGCTGCCAACCGTGGCGACGGCTTTGGCACTGCCCTGGGCCGCATCTGGGGTCGCGGTGGTGTCCTTGGTTGTGAGTAAAACCCCCTACTGGTAATTCTCGGCCATGTGGCCGGAAATCAACTGGTCGATCGAGCTGCACATCGGCGCCCTTTTGATGGACATACGATTGCTCGATGAATCTTTACGAATAAACCACCTGATGAACAAGCATCACTGACAATTCTCCTCTTGCACAGTCTACCAGGGTCTCATCCCTTGGGCCTGGATTGAAGCCTCCACCAAGGGCGCCGTTCTGCTCTTCGTCGCCTCCGAAGCCGAGTACTACGCACGCAACGCTGGCGCCTCCGAGTTTGGTGGTGGTATCATCGGTGGTATCACCGGTGGTGTTGCCCAGGCCTATGCCACCATGGGTTTCTGCACTTGCATGAAGACGGTCGAGATCACCAAGCACAAGGTGGCCTCCACTGGTGTCCCGCCTCCGAGCACCTTCCAGACCTTCATGGGTATTTACCGCAAGGAGGGTATCAAGGGCATCAACAAGGGTGTCAACGCCGTCGCCATTCGTCAGATGACCAACTGGGGTTCCCGTTTCGGTCTCTCTCGTCTGGCCGAGCAGGGTATCCGTGACATCAGAGGGAAGAAGGATGGCGAGAAGCTCGCCGCCTGGGAGAAGATTCTTGCTTCTGGTCTCGGTGGTGGTTTGTCCGCCTGGAACCAACCCATTGAGGTCATCCGTGTCGAGATGCAGAGCAAGAAGGAGGACCCTAACCGACCCAAGAAGATGACGGTCGGAAACACTTTCCGCTACATTTACTCCACCAACGGTATCTCTGGTCTTTACCGTGGTGTGGCCCCTCGTATTGGTCTCGGCGTTTGGCAGACGATTTGCATGGTTGCTTTGGGTGATATGTGAGTTGCCCCCCACACCGCTTATTCCTCATATGGCACGGACAAAACTAATCACTGGATCCTCACTACAGGGCGAAGACTTATGTAGAGAAGCTCACCGGCGACCAGGTCACGGCTAAGCATTAAGATGGCGTTACATGGGGAAATATAGACCAATACCTGGAAAGGTTATTGGTTACTGGGCTGAGGATGGGATTGACTGGCGAAACTGGTCAAAGGCGGACTCCGTGTGGGGGAGCTGCTATAGCTTACCTTACCGATAGCACGGATGAACCCCGCCATGGCCCCGTGCGAGTGACATCCCCGGGGCTCAGCGTTTGTATCTGTTCTTCATCTGGCTTTGTGCTCATCTTAGAGATTATTCGTTATGGGCTATGCTTTGCGCCCTCGGAACTATATACAAAGGATTCGTGGACTCCTGGTCATCTCCATTCGTGATATCTGTGATAGTGGGTCAATAGTATGGTCAGACCCATCGCCATGCGATACGGAACAAAGCCCGCTCGAAGTTCGGGACGAAGTTGACTGGCTCCCGGACCAACCCATCGCCAGGAGTTCGGATGCGGCCAGGGAATGAAGCTAGTCGATAGCCGCGCGTGCTGCGGTTCGATGGTTTTCAAATCCGCTGAGACGCGTTGTCGGCCCGGAGATGTGGTCCCACCCGCTGGGTTCTGACGGCGCTTGTGTATTTTGTGGAACACATCCCCTTCTTTACTTGGTTGGCAATAACTTCTTCTGTCAGTTTCCCTTTTGTCAGCGATGTTCAAGGGACAGTACCTCGGACCCGCTACACTGCGAGGTTCCATCGAGTGTTCTTCCGTTGGATATAGCCGGTGAGGGAAGCCTCGAGAGATATTTGTAGTGGCGTGGGAAGTGGGCTTGATCGTAGTGGGATATGATGCTTGTATAAGGCTTAGTCTCGGCCTACTTTTACTGCTTTACTCACTGGGGAGGTTCAGTTTGCGTTTCATGATGTTCCCGTAGCTTTACAAGTCATACGCTAGTTGTGTGATTCTACCTGCTACCGGTTCTGTGCGAGCTCGATGCTATTTTCCCTTATATCGTCGGGCCCTTCATTGGTATCTCTTTGATTCGATACGGAGTCAAGCCCATTTGGTAAATCAGCCTAGTTTCAAAGTCAAGTATATCTAGGGTGAGTGGATCAAGGTGTGTGTGAATTTGGGGACGGGGGTGAAGGGGAGAGATGGCGGGCTCTGGAAGTGGAGGTAGATGATAGATGCTTGATCCGACCCTAATATTTGTTGAGGTCAGATATTGGGAGGAAATCTTTCCATCTCAAGTCGGCCTCTGAGAAACATTCACAAGAAGCAGGAATATCCGTGGGCAAAACGATTGTGTGCAGTCGTTCTACTTGTTGTGGATCTAGTATGAGGCATCGATGTGGTCATGCCACCCCCCCTCCTGTTTCTGAATTTCTCGATAAAGTGTGGCTCATACTACAAAACAGCAGTCAGAAGGACGCCAAGAGGGAAGCATAATTCTCGTGGTCAAATCCGCGCTGCCATGCTCCCCTGGCTCTCGCCTACATGCGCCCATCCAACTCTCTTCAGCTTCTCCACCAGGTCTGACGAGACGCAGCTGAAAAGATAGACAATCGATCCAGCTTAGCTATGGTATTCGAGGGAATTCCTCTCGAATGAGAGTTAAATTCTTTTAGCACCATGTGCAAGGCTCTGAAGGGCATTAATCTAGGAGGCCGCGCCCGACATAGCCTTAGCCTAACTACATCTTCCTGGATCATATGGGAACCATCGCCTGGTTTCCACGAGGTCTTTTGAAACCTGAGACTCTGAATCTAACATTGCTTCGCCATGGACCTCAACCCCATCACTTCAGGCTCAACCTTGGGCTCGCATACGACAGAAAGATGTACGGATCACTTGACTTTCCACCTGTGGATTATCCAGACAACAAGGTTGCTTGGAATAGAAAGATGGTGCCGAGAAAACGATTGAATGTTACTAAGAGAATCGAAAAAAAAACGTTCCACTTACGCAGTGAAGAAGCATACAAGGTCCAAGTTTGGGCCCGCTTGAGCCTCGCAGTTCATCCCCAACATTCACCTTACCCTCTAGTGGCTGATAAAGTTGTCAGAAGAACGTCTACGCCAAGAGTGTCAAGGCGGCCTGTATGAGTCACATACAAGCTTTTCAGACCTTGTGGTTGAGGCCATCACGGTTGAAGCCATCACAAACAAGGCCTCCATAGAACCTTGATAGGAAACATTGAGCAGTGAATACATGATGCTCCATCGATTTGAGTGCGGGGCAGGCACTCAACCGTGTCACTCAGATTTTCTTTTGCGATTTTTGGCTCGCTTGGTTTCACTTTGTGGTTTTCTAGACAGTAAGGTACCTCCTCATGCCCTTAAAAGGGGTGGTGTATTTCAGTCGGGCGAAGGGGTGGCCGTCTAGAGACTACTCCCCCTCGGTGGTCTCATTAGCAAGACACCAACTCCCATTGTCAAACCGTTCCCAACATCCCCCAAGCACTTGCTACAGAGCTGAATGGCTAAAATTCCTTTCCTTTGCCGGCCAGAAACTTACTCACGCCATCAACTTCTACAGACCCACGTCGGATCTTTTCTCTATCTTTTCTCTCCTGAATCATACGAGGAGAAAGAATTTTCAACCAAAGTTCAGCCATAGTTCAATCAAACCTCCTGAGACATGAAACTCCCTCTCAAGGCCGTCGTCCTCTTGGTCCTCGCCTCGACAGCGACCCTCGTCTCCGCCATCAAGCCATGGGGCAAATCGCCCATGAACGCCCGGGAGAGGCTGCACCTCTGGAACCAGGCCGCCTGCAAACAGCTCAGGAAGTCGCCGTTCCCCCGGCGCTGGGTCTCGACCAGCTTCACGGTGACGGCCATCGTCGACGAGGACATCGAGTCCCTCTGCCACCGGCTCTGGCACAACATCAAGCGCTCCGACGGCTACTGCACGACGCCGACCAAGCCGGTGTGCGAGGACCGGGGCGACAAGGAGATTGGGGAAAAGGTCGTCTACTGGAGCTTCAACGTGTTTGGGTTCTGCCCCCCCTCCGCGGTGGACTCGGCCTGGTGGGAGAGCACGGGGAATATCTGGGGCCCGTCGAACTGTCGAGAGGGCAAGTATACTAACAAGAACCTTCCCAGTCTGCCCTTTCCAGAGCCCGAGAGGGAGAGGTAGATGAAGGGCCTGGAAGGACTATCTCATGGCAAATAACTCGAGGCAACTGGTGCGCTACAGACCAAACGCTGTACGAATCGCGTCTAGGAGCTTGACACCACGCGGGTCATGTAGACTTTCACCCCTGACTAGACTCTTAAGTGGGCTTCTCGTTAAGGGAACCCCTTCAACTCTTCTCGCACTATCATTATCTGTTCTAAGTCATCTTGTAAGTAGTAGCAACGGCCCGAAGGTATGCAGCGTGGGCCCCTAATCCCCCTACGGGAGTAAGAACTGGCGATAAAACAAATGAACAAACATATAATCCAAAAGTGCTATGGAGAGAGTAACTGACGGCGGACGCTTTCAATAATCTTACTGGCGGCTTGAGATAGCAATGATTAGTTTGATAAGTCCGGAAGGAGGAGAGAAGGGGGAAAGACGTAGGCAGCTGAGAATCGATTCAAAACCGACGAGGCTTCAAGAGAAGCAAAGGCCTCCCAGCGACGACCTCGGGGGACATTAAATAGTGGAATACGAATCTCGGACAGCTGTTGCAAATGATTGATACGTGTACCTCATCTCGAGGTGGGCAGAGGTGGGCATACTGACGTGTCTGTCTCCCCTTGACGTCCGTCAGAATCACCAAAATAGTCTCGAGAATGTCCTTCTTGCCACTGTCCAGAGGTATGCCCACAGCCATTCAAACCCCTTATTTGCGCAAAACATGTCTCTACGATGTGTTCCTCGCAGATGTCTCGATGATCTGCAATGTACACGTAAACCAGAGGCGTCGATGCTGAATGCCACCGCACGCCGCGGCAGTTCTATGGTATCGATCGATGTCCGTTTGGAAATGGGAGGAGAGAAGAATGAAAAGGCCTCAAGAAGTCATGGAAAGATTGGATGTTGTGAGCTCAACATAAGTCAGCAGGCCAATATCCTAAAAACGCGGCGACGTACCCAGCCAAGGTCTGTCTGTACTCAACTAACGGTTCATGCCTCAGGAAGGGTCTAGCAGAGCTTCCCGCCGTCCAGGACGATGCTTTCCAAACAGCGAAGTAGACACAACATGTCCACACGGCATTCAACCTGGACGAGGGACGCTCTACTTCCTCTCGAACAGCCATTGCAGAGACAGAGTAAAAGGCAATGCCATCCATGTTTTCCGTTCAACTCTTTTCAGGTTGGTAAAACAACCCCCCTCCCCCAGTCATCAACACTATCATCCCCTTTTCCCTGCTCGAACGCTGGCGAAACTTGATCATGACATTACTCATCTCATCCATTTCTTCCCCAGCAGCCCAGATTGATAGACACACGCAACACCGCCGCGACACCATCTTCAGCCTCGCCAGAGCCACAAAGTCAAAAATACCACTGCCAAAAGGCTCGAAGTGTCCCCTCCCTCCCTCCCGGTGGGACCCATCCGAGACTCGTATCCTCAAAACGGAGAAAACAAGATTGTGATATAGACCTCAGTGGTAGTTACACATCGAAACAAGCCCCGGTTCGCAGCCTCAATCATCCGATTCCTTATGAGCCAACACACCCCCAATTCATCTTGAGTAGGGATGGATGTAGATTGGGAACGGGCCAAAAGGGGTCACATCCACTTACACACCTCACACGCGTACATGTCGTTGGGCTGACTGATGCGACAGGGAGAAGGGCTGCGTCACATCGAGCTTCCCAAACATCGGACGACAGATCGCGCACTCGAGCCAGCGATCGCCTCCCGTATCTCAGTATCAACTTGTCCTTCGCCCGCCCGAACCTTCGCTACTACCACCTTCCTGGAAAACGTTCACCAAGAGAGATTCCCCGCTGGAGAGATCTTTTCCCCGTTCAATGCGGACGTGGCCTACTGAGACGTCTCCAGCTCAGAGTTCACGTAAAACCATTGAATCAGCCTGTCATAAAGGTGTATTTGGCCATGGCTGGCCGGTCGACCATTCAGAGGAACCCCAGTTACCTACACTTAGAACAGTCTATCGGCGCAATACAAAAGAGAAAAATCCAATATTGCTTGCATAGTACCGAGAGACTTTGTCCCCTACCTCTCGTTGAGAGAAACTCGGAAAAAGAACAAAAACGTGGAGACGGAACCTGGAGAGCACAGACAGATATTTCTGCCCAAATCCAAGTTTCAATTGCTTTCAATGGAAGCTGCCGACCGACGTACGGGACAGGGAGGCACTGTGTACAGTACTACACTTTGTCTATACATGCCATCCCTCCCTTCGTCGCAAGTTCTCAACCCACCCCGCAATATCAATGAAACTCGAAACGTGTCGGCATGAAGGAAACAAAAACGGAACGCATGAGATGGTACCGGTTCCCGACCAGGGAGAAATGCCACGAGGGAAAGAAACGATTCACGAGAGAACCTGGCAAGGGGGAAAAAGAAAGAGACTGGATGAACAGGCCGGCTGTGCTTAATTGAGAGCTCTCCGCTGTTCCGCCAAACGCAATGAGATACACAAGACACCTGGGGAATAATGCCAGGCTTGTTTGTTGTCGCATTTCTTGTTCTTACAACAGCACGCTCTCTGACATTCGCAGAGAACAGATTTTTTTTCTTTTAATTTTTCCGGGATGAGATGTTGACGTGATTTTGCTCGTGCAAAGCTTATCTGGCTTATTTCCCCGATCACATCACAACTTGCAAACGGTGCCAATGTTGTCAATCTGCGACCGGCGGGTTTGGGCGTCCCCGTATTTCATGACCCCGATGACCCCAAGCACAAAAGGCAAACCGGCGATTCAAAAGTCGTGGGTCGCACCGTACGCAGTGTCCGGTATTTGGAACAAGAGCACACCGGGCGGAGAGTGAGAGAGAGTTGCAAGAAGGAAACGGATCGACTTGTCGTCGTAAAATGACCCCAATCGCCTCAAAGAAGCCACAGCCGAGCCGGTGTCTGCCGCTAGGCCCAGGCGAGCGTAGAATAGGTGCCTCGGCGGCTTTTCTGAAGAGATTTGATTTCCCTGTTGCTGTGGAGAGCCAAGAAAAAAAAAAGTCAATAGTCCCATTCACAACAGATAAACAACAACAGCAGCAGCAGCAACAACAACAATAACAAGACAATACTAAGTGAAAAGTACCACCTCTGGGCTCTGGCACTTTCGAGTTGCACATCCCCGGAAGACAAAGCCATGGCTGTTTCACAGCGTTCCTTCCGAGACTCGACCCGATCTCCAGCGGTTGGTCACTTGCATGACACCTAATAATCATACATACCCGGTCCCCACAGCCCGCGGCCGGTCCAACTTGTAAGGCCAAGGTGCCCCCGCCCCGGCTGCCAGCAGAACCCTCCCCCCCCCCCCCCCCCCCCCCCCCCCCCCCCGCCCCCCGGCGGCCGGGCCGGGACGAGAGCTGCGACCCCGGGCGTGCGTCGGGCCGCGCCCCCCCCCCCCCCCCCCCCCCCGGCCCCCCCCCCCCCCCCCCCCGGGCCACCTACCTGCGGTGTCGAGATGGGCAAGGCGGTAAGTAAGTTGGGCACTGTTAGGTGATCGCAATTGGTCGCTGCAGCGGTCATCCCTCTCCATGCAGTTGCAACCCGCTTTCAACATTGCTTCTAGAAGAGCGGAAAGCGGACACGCACCAACGGAGGGCGGGCGGACGGGCGGGTTCTGGTGGTCGTGGTGGCTCCAATGCTCCAATGCTCCAATGCTTCAATGCTCTTCCTGCAGCCTGCGGCCTGCTTGTTGGCGTGCTGGGTGCGTCGCTGGCGGCATGTGGGGAAAAAAACATCGTGAGATACGACTGCTGTTTGGTCAAGTGAAGCTCCGTTAGTGTCCGGTTCCTATATCCATACCGGATATCTCTGCAGGACACTGGGGCATCTGCAGGATTGCCGCGGCTCATAGTCGAAAGATGGAGACCCCAATCAAACCGCGAGATCCATCCAGCCAAGCAGCATGTAAAAAGGGTTCGGCTCCGTATTGCCCTACTGTGTAGAATGCAAGCCCAGTTCCGGGAGTGGGCTGGCGTGCCAATCGCCGGTCGTTTCTCCATAGAACCCAAGTGAACCCTTCCGACTGATAAATGGAGACTGTCCGGCCTAACGCTTCGCGACGGGGCTCCTTAAAACGGCACGCCTTAGGAGCAAGGCTCAGGAAACCGCGGCACACACCGCGAGAGAAACCGGGTCTGTTCCCGGCCAGGTGCTAGAGCGGGCACTCTGGGCCATAAGACCATATCCAGGAGCCACTGACTCGTCCCTTTTGCCATTTTCTCGTGGTTACTCGTAGTAGGTAACGGGGCGGTCGCTGGCATCCCTTGGTCCCATTGAGTAAAGAGGCATGGCCCATGGCCCACGGCCCATGGCTCATGATTACCATGTATGGACCGAAGCAAGAAACGGCCCGTAATCGTTAGCCAACGGCAACTCCACGCAACGCCGTCACAGGGAGCCAGGGCCATGGTGAACACTCACCGCTTGATGACAAAGTGCCGTGTGGAATGTCACCAGATATTTCCCAGTGCTTTGGTCTCTCGTAAGAGAATATCCGGCCTATCCCAGACTCGCCCGTGTTAGCCTGTCTTGCACGCTCCCGAGGTTGTTTGGTTTTTCGAGATTCGACGTTGTACATCCATCTCTGACTGGCTAGCGAACCAAAGGCAGATTGAGATTGTCAACGACAAACAATTCCCAGTTGCAGGCTTTTTCTTTCTTCTCCTGAATTCAGGTTTCACCTTCATTGGTTTGTTTCAGGCCCCTCGTCCAGCTGCTACCCCAAGATGTTGTCTCGACCTCTACTATGTGGTACGCATGCGACCCCGTAGCCCGCAATCAGCCGCCTCGATGTGTTGCTGCAAGCTATCCTTGACACTACATTGCCGAGAGACACAAGAACACAAAAAAAGAGATGGCTGGCGATGTCGCGCCGCAGCGCCGTAGCTAGTCCGATCGAGTCAAGCATGTCGCGCCGACTTTAAATGATGGACGGATCCACGCTGGCCGCGGACTCAGGTCACATATCTGCGCTGGTTGACAGCATTCCATTCTTGCTTCCGG